TTTGTTACCATTGCTTTGTATTAAGTTATAAAATCAGGAGATGAGAGTCCTTCATATTCTTCATTTTCAAGATTGCTGCCTAAATAGTGGTCTCTTGATTCCATATGAATTTTAGGATGTTTTTCTATTTCTACAAAAAAGTCACTGGGATTCTGATAAGGATTGCATTGAATCTATAAATCATTTTGGATAATATTATCATCTTAGCAATATTAAGTCTTCTAATCCATGAATGTGGGATGTCTTTACATTTATTTACATTTTTAAATTCTTTTTTTTAAGATTTTATTTATTTATTTGACAGAGAGAGACACAGCAAGAGAGGGAACACAAGGGGGGGTGGTGGGAGAGGGAGAAGCAGGCTTCCCGAGGAGCTGGGAGCCCGATGTGGGGCTTGATCCCAGGACCCTGGGATCATGACCTGAGCCGAAGGCAGGCGCTTAATGACTGAGCCACCCAGGCGCCCCTAGGTTTTTAAATTCTTTTAGCAATGCTTTGTAGTTTTCTGTATACACGTCTTTCACCGCTTTGCTTAAGTTTATTATTAAGTATTTTATTCTTTTTGGTTCTACTGTAAATGTAATTATTTTCTAATTTCTTTTTTGAATTGTTTACCATTATCATATAGAAATGCAACTGAATTTGGGGGGCAACTGGGTGACTCAGTCAGTTAAGCATCTGTCTTCAGCTCGGGTCATGATCACAGGGTTCCTGGATCGAGCCCCATATTAGGCTCCCTGCTCAGTGAGGAGTCTGGTTCTCCCTCTCCCTCTACCTTTCCCCCTGGCTCATTCTCTCTCTCTCTCTCTCTCAAATAAATAAATAAAATCTTTAAAAAAGTAGAAATGCAACTGAATTTTGAATGTTGATTTTGTATCCTGAAACACTGCTGAATTTGTTTAACTCTAACAGATTTTTTTTACATTCTTTTGGGTTTTCTACACATGAGATAATATCACCTGCAAACAGAGATAATTTTACTTCTTCCTTTTTAATTTAGATACCTTTTATTGCTTTTCTTGCCTAACTGACCTGTCTAGAATTTCCAGTAGTGTGTTGAATAGAAGTGGCGAATGTGGGCATCATTGTCTTTTTCTGTCTTAGAGGAAAAGCTTTCGGTTTTTGATATAATTTTATGATTTATGATTTTTTTCTTATTTAGTATGATATTAGCTGTGGATTTTTTTTTAGCCCAGAGCCATGGAGGGTAGGATCTGCTAATACTCACCATCTGTCAAATCTATCCAGAATATGTCTGCCCTAGGAAGCTGAGAAGATGGGAACTGCCGCTCAGTTGTCAAGCCAAGTATTATCAGCTTTCCCACAATACATATATGTGCCAGAAAGGGGGACTGCATTCTTCACCAACTGTTTTGCCTATTTTGCAGAAGTTGGCAGTAGGGAAGTGGATGCTGCCCTCACCCAGGAAAGCAGTTTCACTCGAGGGAGCTGGGAGCTATCAGGAACCACCTGCAACACAGCTCCCAAGCTTGTTAAAATAGTTCTTCCGTGAGGCAGAGCAATGGAGATGTGGGAGTATTACCTAGCTTCATTACCAAGGCCTCCTAATGTTCTTAGCTATTGTCCATAACTTTGTTGAATAAATACTTCTCAATCAGTTATAATCCTTTTGATCAATCTCTGGAACATTTGATTCAGTATCCTTTGCTAATACTTGATCAATTTAATAGTTGTTTCTACAAGGAAGAGATTTCCCTAAGGTCCTCACATGACCATTCTGGAAGGGCTCTCACTTTCTTGATGGTGTCTTTGACACACAAAAGTTTTTAATTTTGATTAGGTCGTATTTATTACTTTTAAGTTTTTCTTGCTTGTACTTTTTGCATCATATCTAAGAGGGCTTTGCCTAACTCAAGATCACAAAGATTTACTCCTATGTTTTCTTATAATTGTTTTAAAATTTCACCTCTTATGGTTAGGTCTTTGATCCATTTTGAGTTAATTTTTGTGCATGGTGTGAGATAGGTGTCTGAGTTCATAATTTTTCTTTTGGATATCCAATTGTCCTAGCACCATTGTTGTGAATGCTATTTCATGAGTCTTCTGATTAATGAACATAGGATATCTCTCCATTCATTTACCTTTTCTTTAATGTATTTTAGCAGTGAGGTTTTTTTTCTTTTTAGTTTTCAATTTACAAGTCTATACTTGTTTTGTTAAATTTATTTCTAAATATTTTAATTCTATTGTAAATGGTCTGTTACTCTCATTTTCAGATTGTTCATTACTAGTGTATACAAATACAATTGATTTTTTATGGGTTGAGCCTCATATTATTTTTCTATCTAGTGTAACAAACTTAATGGTTTAAAACAATAACTTTTATTATTTCACAGTCAGAAGTCTGGGCATGGCTCAATTGGGTTCTCATATTAGGTTCTCACAAGGCCAAAATTAAGGTGCTGGCGAGGCTCTCTGTATTCCTTTCTAGAGATTCTGGGAAAGAATTTGCTTCCAAACGCCCTCAGATTTTTGCAGAAATCATTTCTTTCTTATACTTTCTATGTGGCCCTTTCTGTCTTAAAGCTAGCAATGGTGGTTTGAGTTCTTCTTTTGCTTCAGATCCCTCTGACTGTCCTTCCATCTGCCAGAAAAAGTTCTCTACTTTTAAGGGCCCTTGAGATTACAATGGGTCCACCAAAACAATCCAGGATAATCTCCCCCTATTTAAAAGCCAAAAATTAGTAACTTTAATTACATCTGCAACATCCCTTTTGCAACATAATGTAACATATTCATAGGTGTAACTCCAGGAGATAAAGATCATGGGAGCCAGAATTCTACCTATCAAAATTTTGTTTCCTGCAAACTTGCTGAACTTATTCTAGTAATGTTTTAGTGGATTTGTAACCTAATAACTAAAGTGAGTTCACTCCTTGGTAAATTACAGATAGAGACTACATCAGGTGGAGTTGTCACACAAAACTTTACTTCAACAAATAAGGAAATCATGGGGAATAACTTCCAAAGCCATGACACCTGAGTGGGGGTAAACAGATTTCTTTTATTTAGGAATAGGATGAATATTCGGAAAAGGGGGGAGGGATTTGTCATTGCATTTAGAGGTATAAGATCATATACACATATTTAGGAAATATGCCTGTACATGCATTGTATGTTATGCTAATGAGGTTTGTATTCCTCCTTGGGCAGATATTATAATGAGGTAGAAGTTACTGTCAGACACTCCATGGTCCATCTGCACAGGTGTGAGTTGGTCTAAGCCTACCTGAGCTCTTCCTGTTGTTTGCCTCTAAAAGATAAGGCTAACATTCTTGTGAAGAAGGGATAGTCAGTGAGGGTTTTGCTGGTGACAGTTTTAACTTCATTAACCCTATGGAGCATGGTTTCAGATTCCTTAGGGTTTTCTCTATGCAAGATCATGTCTGCAAATGAAGACAGTTTCACTTTTTCATTTCCAATCTGAATGCCTTTTAGTTCTTATTTTTGTCTAATTGCCCACACTATTCTTTCTAGTACAATGTTGAATAAAAGTAGTGGAAGGAGACATTCTTGTCTTTTTCCTGATCTTAAGAGGACAACAGTCTTTCTTCATTAAGTATATTAGCTGTAGTTTTTTCATAGATGCCCTTTATCAGGTTGAGGAAGTTCACATATATTTCTAGTTTTTTAAGGATTTTTATCATGAATGGATATTGGGTTTTGTCCAAGGCTTTTTTCCAAATCTGTTAAGATGATCACATCATTTTTGTCCTTTATTCTATTAATATGATGTATTGCAGCAATTTATTTTTGTGTTCCTCAGATAAATTCCACTTGGTCATGATGTATAATCTTTCTCATTTGTTGTTAGATTCAGTTTGCTAGTATTTTGTTGAGTTTGTGCTTATATTAATGGTATTATTCTTTAACTGTTTGGTAGATCTCATCATTGAAACCATCTGGGCCTGAGTTTTTCTTTGGGAAAAGATTTATAATTACTAATTCAGTCTCTGTGTTACCCATCTGATTTTGTTTAGAGATTCTATCAAATGCAGTAACCCCACAGGATACTCTAGCTGGCATTGTTGCTGTTTTCTGGCCCACTGTGAATGAACTGAATACAGTTGCCATTGATTGTTAACTAACATAGTTAAACATATAGAATAGTTTCTTATGTTGGTGCTTTGGAAATCATTTCAGATACGGGTTTGTAAATCATTCAATTTTGAGGAGTAATTTTAAAATTTAACAATGCCTTCTTTATCAGAAGCCTAATAAAACTCTTCCAAAGAAGAGTTGAAAATGCATAGTAATCTTTTATTTTAATTTTTGGAAGGTTTTGCAATCTCTTCTTCCTCCCTACAAAATATGTGCACTCCAATAGAGAAATTCAGTCTCTGTCCCCTTGTTTAGGACAGTGCTGCTTCTCATTTATATTTTTTTCCTCTGAATAAAGTTTTCTGATTAGCTGTTTTTAACATGTTCTTCTCAGTGGAAATTCTGATATATGTTGGCTTGCTTTATTCAACTTGTAGACCTTGAGTACTATATGCCAGGCATTTGTGCCAGGAGCTCTTATAGGAAGACTTTCTGTGAGGACTCAGATTAACTTGGCATACCACATGTATATTGAAAAAGTAACCCTATGAAAAGATATGTGAAAGTCAAGATTAGGTCCCTAAGTGGCCTACTTAGCTGTATCAGTAATGATTTCACAGTAGTCCGGTGCATGGACTCACAACACCAACACAGGACAATTTGTATATATTTCATTTTGAAAAGCATATATTAAAATCCCATGTACATGGATGCGGGTGTGTGAAGAGGGAGAAAAAGAGATCTTATAATAACTATAATAACTGCTCAAAATATTACTCTTCTTTTGGCAGTTTCTGTCACATTGCTTTTTATGTGATTTCTAATGGAAAAACAAGAAGAGAAAATAATTGGATTTTACAAACAAGCAGAAAAATATACATATAGTTTACAAAGTTCTTCAGTTCATTTTGTAACAAAGTCTTGATTCTTCCTCTTAGACCAGAAGATCAATTCAGAAGTTATTAGAATGGGAAAATAACAGATTATATCACAAGGTAAGAAAGTTTAAGCAAATAAGTGCCCCACATATATTTGCATTATTAAATGGAAAAAATGGGAATTTTTCAGGCCACAAAAGAATGGATTCGAGAATTAATATTCAATTTTAATGTATATTCTTTACAAGTTACTTTTAAATGCTATTTTATGTGTCTTATGCTTATTCCTGGATGGTTCTCGGTCATTTATTCAAATGTTAGAGGTAATAATTAATATAAATTGATACCGAAATTCCTAACTGTACTTTCTTAGCTTGCTTTGCACTGGAAGTTGACTAAAAGGAAATGCGAAACTAGCAATATGATGGAGTATGTAAGTATGCAGTTGTTTTTAGTTACTTTTTTTGGATTCCATTTTAAATGTTACATTTTACTATGCTTATCATTTGTCAGTTCTTTCTACGTTTTTTTTCTCCTCAGCCTAAACTTCTGTCAGTTTTGGAACATAGAGGTTTCCTTCCATCTTCCTTAGATTTGTAGCCAACATAAAAATATCTTGAAAGCTAGTAATTACTTAGATCTGAGAAAAATCTCAACTAGTATGCTGTAATGAAAACATTGTACAACCTTAATCTTCTTTTCACATAGGTGCAGACCATCACATATGGTAATAAACACAGCTGCTGTTGAACAAAATATTTCTAAATGTGATCTTGACAAAACTTGCATAAAATAGGAATTGAATTCTGAATTCATGTTCCTGGCTTTTTGTCTTAGCTAACACTTAATTTTCAATAAATAAATGATAGGCTCTATTTTTTATTTTTACTGAAAGCTATGCAGTCTTAATCACAAAACACAAATTTACATATAACCAATGTGATAACTTCAGCATCATAAACATTCAAAAGAATATGAAATTTATCTAAGCTTGAAATTGTTGACATATGTATATTTACTATATAAACATTCCATTTCCATATCATAAATAAGGATTATTATGTTATTTTTCCCCACTTTGAATAGCTAGGGGAAAGAATGTGCAAATGACCACAAATCTAATATCCACTATAGATAAAACCTTATATAAAGTATTATAAATTTATTATAAATTTACACATTAAGTTTATAAATAAAATATTAAATATAAATTTAGTATATAAATTTGTGTAAGTTTATAAATATCTTCGGTTTTTATTATTATATTTCCAGTCTTTAATTAAAATGTTTTAATCAATCCATTTGGATGTTTCATTATTTTTTACAAACAACTTGTAAAAGATAGTAATAACCAATATCAGCTGCTTTAACTGAAAAATATATAGATAAAGGTATTTTTTCTAATCTGTATAACACAGTTTTAATCCCTTCTTCTTTGTCAAAAAAAATGGGCAGGGGAGAAGGGGTGTAGAGGGAGATAATAATGTAAGAGGGTTTGCTTTTCTTCACCTAAACAAATAATTATTATAAATTAGGTCATAGAAACTGTTAGCTACAATAAGTAGTTATGTTTGCCAATTTGATTTAATTGCCAATCTAATGATAACTTGTAGTAAATTCTCTTTATAACTGTTTTATACATTTCACTTACTTTATACTAGAGGACCATAGTAGAGTCCTGTGAAAAATGATCATAGACTTTCTGGGTTATATATGTTCTAGTAAATGAAAATTATTTTGTCAATATATTCTTGTTTGTTTTTATTTTACAGGTAATACTAATAGAATTCTTACCAAAATATCCCATATTCCGACCTGACTGAGGAATTTTATTCAGTCACTTCTGTGTTACTTGTCATTTCCTACCCTTAGTGCCTTGTAGATGATTTTGGAATGAAGATGGTCTCCTTTGCTGTGTTCAACTTACTCTTTATTTCTTATTATTATTCTTTAGAATATTCTCCTTACTCTTTTATTTGTGTTGGTTTAAGAAGAAAATTTGCACATCTTTTTTTTGTTAAATGAGGCTTGTGTTTTGCACTCTCAATTTTTAAATAAATACACACACAGAGACGTATATGTATATATATAGTTGCCACTAAAGATAAAACATCAGTGCCAGTGTTTAAAAAACAAAAACGAAAATTTGTTCTGAGCATGCTGCCTTATTATTTTCATACTCACTGTTTCTAAATATGCATCATTTTTCTAGGCTACTTAATGCTCTGTAATCCCTTACTGGATATAAGTAAATAAGCTTTTAGTAGCTTTTAGAAATGGTTTTACTCTTACTTGCTTTTAAAAGACATGCAATTAATAGCACTGGTTTTGTCCTGCACTTTGCTAAATTATCACTTATGTTAGTGGATAAAATATTTAAACTCTTAAAAGACTTGTAAATATTGTCTCTTTGCGTAACATAAAATGTGATATGCCATGGTTTACAGAATGTAATATTACTCTTACTGTATTGCCAACAAATCTGCATAGATTTTAATATGAATGAAGTTTGCAAGCATCCTTTTGAATGTATAGACTGTTAACATGCTATTTTATGGCAGAGCCATAATGAGTTTGTTAAAAATTTCAGGTGGAGGGCAGGATTGCCCTTTGTAATGAGTGGATTAAAATTGAAATCATTGTCTGAGATATTCTGCATTGCACCTGAAACCAAGAACCTTAGTTTTTCCATTTAATTCAGTAATTCCCATGTTGTCCTCCACTCCCACCCTCCAAAAAATTCATTTGACATCCGACACATTTCACAGCTTCACTGTCCTTATTTATTTCCCTTAATGTATCCTTTCCCTCATTTGAAAATACACACAGTTAGGATCTTTAAGGAGTGTTTGAAGATTTCACATGTCTTGGGAGGTGTCTAGATCCTCATGAAAGCCACTGCTAATCCCTTTTTGGAATTCTGATATTCTGCTCTGGGAAAGAGAGAGAGCTAATTGAGAAGCTGTACCTAAAGAATATATAGTGGCTGGTTCATAATTGATAAAAATATTCTTTATTTTTTGAGAATCTTTTTTAAATATTTGGATATTATTAATGAAGAAAGACAAGTACTTAGACTAAAGTATTTTAGTTTATAAATTCCCCACACATGTAGCCTTTTCATTTATATGTACCTATTTTTTCTTTTTCTCTTCACAAGATGAGTGAGAATACCACACTTAGTTTGAATTTTTAACATAATTATAAAGCTTTATGTTGTGTTAATTCAACTGCAAATGTATGCCTGTATATAGGCATTATTTGTAATTCCTATTGCTAAAAATAAATTAAAAGAATCTGAGACTCAATAATATCCTATTTGTCATCTTACTCTTACTACTTTTAGTAAAAATTTTTTAGATAAACATTTATCCCAGTGAAGAGAATAGTCATTTCTTCATACAAAGTCAAGTATTTTAAAAGTCACTTTTAAAATTTATGCCGAATTTGAAATCCATAGTCCTGGACAAGTGAAAGAAGAGGGGAAAAAGAGACACTTTATGATATATGACTATAATTGTTTGCACACTTTTCCACCTCCCTCTGTAGAGTCCCATTACCCCCATGCCACCAAGCCACCCAGAATCTCTAACTTTTAATATGTGTGCCTGCAAATACCATTTGTCTGTCTGCTGCAAAATTAAATATGTATTTTTATAGACAAAGTGGAAACCTCTGAAAATGCATACCAAATGTCTTGTTTTATAGCTAAGGTCAGGGAAAAATTGTATCTGTGGTTTATGCTCCAGCTAATATCATCAGATTTATTCTTCAAACTGTGACTGTTTAATACCAAAATTGATTTCCAGAATAATACAAAATTTCTAATTAGCAGTGATAGAATAATTTTAAGTGTCAATCCTTAAAATCTCATCTTTTTCTGTATATTTAGAATTTGGCCATGTGTATTTAGAATTTGGTCATCGTAACTTTTTCTGCCATGTATAAATCACAGTTGGTTTTGCTCAAAGAACAGCAAGAAGTGGTGAATTGTTTCCATGAAACAAATATTGAGACAAAAATAGTGTGTATCTGAAGGTGACAGAATATAACTTAAGTTACAGTAGTATTTGTCATAAAAATCATTTGCCAGCATTTATAAACTTAATTTAAAAGCCTACTCTAATTGCTTTTAAATTTATTATTTTATTGTTCATTATGCTGGTTGACTCATCTTATTTTCTTGAACTACTCAGATAATACCCAATTTTCTTTTTTCTTTCTTATATGACTGCTTTTTCAAACTATTTTCCTATGTAAGGGGCTATTTAGCAGTTGGGTATTCTGGAGTGCTTTGGAGGGGGTGTTTTCAGTGAAATTGGCAGCAATGAATAATGAAATGACAAAGCATACTGTGTGTTCATTAATTCCTCCCCCATTGACCTTTTTTTCTTTTATCCTTAGGATAGAACATACTTGGATATTTCTATCAAGTTAGTAGAATATTTTTATGAAAGCTGTTTTTTAGGTTGAAGAAAGTAATTGTGAATTTCTTTTTTACATGATATTCTTTTATGAAACCTGCTGTGGTAGGTTCCAGAGAAAATAACATGTATTTGCCAAAGTGTATACATCTCACAAAGCTTTGAAGTTACAAGTTAAAACTGTTCCTTCTCTAACTTTCCATTACACATGTCCATCCCCAGTGCCTCTTTAAACACCTAAATTATGTATAAAATGAAATTAAGGCCTAACCTTTTTCAACTACTTTTTGTTCCCTCCTACCCATGATATTAATTTAAGAAAGAGATCATTGTAGTCAAACATTAGAAGTAGATGGAGAAGTGCCTTGTCTTTTTTGAACAAAGATAACATTTTATGTTGAAGGAAACAGAATGGATGAACTGACAGATCATTAGACTTAAAACTATCCTTTTCAAGTATAAGAATATTTCATTTATTTCATTAGCATATTATATTTCTTCTATTTATTATTTAAAGCCTGTTTCCTTGTTTTCCCCCAATCATATATGTTAGTGAAAAAATATTACAGAACAGGACTATCAATCACTTACAAAGCTGGTATAATTCTAATGCTAGTGAATATGTAATTTAACATGGTTCTGGAAGAACAATGGTCTTTGATTGAAGCCCTACCAAAACCCACTTAAGTATTTAATTACATACTATTTATATTATTATGATCTTTAAACACTAATATGTGATCAATTAATCTGTGTTAACATTTAGCACTCTACCATTTTTAATGAAATTTATTCTTATTTTTTCATAATTTGAATGAAGTTCCATGTTCATAACATTTTTAAGGCTTAGAACAAATAGGGTTTTTCCAAATGTATTGGAGCTTTCAAAAATTATTAGCATTTTAATTTTGTTTACAAATAAACCACCACTTAAAATCAAACCTCACTACTTGAACATAAAGCCCCAAACAACATTTCATCAGAATTAACTGTGTTGACCCTGGAGAATATAGAAATTACATACACTCGTTTCTGGAGGATATAGAAATTATATACACTCGTTTAATTGGAGCAGTTTCACATATGGAAATGTATTTTACTAATTTGATTATAACATGCCTAAATTTAATGAAGTTAAGTCCTCTTTATGCCTATAAAATTCTGCTTTAAAATATTCATTTTGCAACAGTTGTCCAATTGTTTGGGTTCCTTTAAATGGTGAACTATTAGGAAATTTTCCATAGAAAAGGAATAGATTTTATTAATAATACTTGTTCATGTAACATAGAGACTAAAAAAAGAAAGGATTTGTATATCTTTGTCTTGCTCCAAATTTCTCTTTTTTGATTCTGAGCCAGCTTTTCATTTTGATGATGGCAACCTGAGAATATATTCCATTTTCTATGGACTTTGTCAGATTCTTACTATATGAGGAAATGATCTAATATTATGGGTTTTGGGCAAGTCACTTAAATTACATGTCAGTCTCTTCATCTGTAAAATCATGGAGTTGAACCTAGGGCTGGACAGAAAATTAGAGCTAAACTAACATTCTGTGATTCTAGGAATCCTTAGGAAATTTTTACTCTACAGAATCCCAGAATGATTTTTCTCAGATCTACTACCCTTGGTGGAAATTCTCACAGTGCCTTGCACACAGTAAATGTTTGATTTGCCAACTGGCTCCTAGCTGATGTGTGTTCATGTCACACAGACTCAAAGAACCTGATACCTGCTAGACCTCAGCCCCTCTATGGTAATAAAAATAAATTTAGTTTCCCTAGGAACTAAAAGCTAAGATCTGTGGGCTTTGCATATGTGAAATCTGACTATGCATTTGGTATCGAGGCAAGAATTATAACTGTGACAACAATGGAGATATGGGAGGACCCACTTTGACATTGATGTGAAAAGTTTTCATATCCTATCCAATATCTGCTTCAGTGTCTTACTAGGTTCCATATCCTCAAAAAGATCTGTTGGAAAAAATTGATATTAGATGAAAAGAAAAGTGGTATGGAATTCAAACCCAAATCACTTCTGGTTTAATTCTTAGCTCTGCTGCTTAATTCCTCTGTACCTCATGTCCTCATTGTGGAAGTGGAGACAATAATCTGGACCTACCTCACAGGGGAATTGAGGATTTTTTTTCATATATTAATGTGCTTTTGAAGTTGACTGAAAGATATACTGGATATCATAATTTTGTAATTTCTAAATAGATTCCTTTAAGTCTATGTTGTTATGTTTTCTTTCTCAAACCCTACAGAATGAGTGTTGCATTTAATCTATTTTATCAGTAGTAAATTTTGTTATTAATGCCCTATATGTTAACATGAGTAATGTGTTATGTTAATACTTGACTTAGGGAGGAAAAGCAGGTGGATGTAAACCAGTGGTTGCCAACTTGGGACAGATAGAGATAGCAGTGGGGGCATCCTTGAACCTGTTTTTAATATTTCAAAACATATTCTAGAAATCATACATTTACCCACATTCCTGCCACATAAACCAACTAAGACATTGAACTTCCATGAATTTTGTTGATATTTTTTCAATCCTGCCTAACATAACACTGGTTATCACACACTGATCAGAAGTTGTGAATGACAGTTCTGCTTTTGATTAATAAAAGAATGAAAAAG